GTGTGTGTGTGTGTGTGTGTGTGTGTGTGTGTGTGTGTGTGTGTGTGTGTGTGTGTGTGTGTTGTTTTGGGCAATGCTAAGAGACGGAGCAGTTGAATACAGATGAGTACAGGAGGGCGTTTATCCTCTTGTTTATTCAAATCACAGGTTTTCGAACAATAGGCTGCAGCTTACCAAAGGCGTTATCCGTAAGCCATCATTTACCTTTTTAACTGATGTGTGCAAAAAGCACAGCAGATGACTTAATTTTGATTCGCTTGAAATAAAATGTTACCATTAATACGACGTTTTGCATGCAAAAACTGGAGACTATTTTCATATAGAGCAACAGTGATTTGTCACTATTAAAAATATTATAGGTGGATGTGAGGGCTTGAATGTGAGTGCATGCATTTGTCTCTTTATGCCTGTCAGTTATTGTATTACCCTGCAGTATTTTCACATTAACCACGGAGTATGTTTTGGATCAAATGGACGTCTAATTGTAAGATGTCTAAATAATAGCGTGTCTGCTTTTTCCTCCCCTACCTCACATCCATGAAAGTGGAGTTAAAGTTTACCTAAAGCTCGTCCTTTTATAAAAAGGGAAATCAATCTAGTGTCTGTTAATAATCGGGTAGTGTCCGTGTCCTTTTTTCCCCCTCTCTTCACTGCTCATCATTTATTCATCAGGCATCTCGTCTTCCACATCATGCGTTGTGTTTCATGCAAAACATTTCAAACCATTCTTGCAGTGTAACATGAGATGGGTTGCATGTGTTCTCAGGTGAAGGCTCTGTAATTCAAACGTTTGCCAACTTTAAGGGAGCTTTCATTTTTATTTGAAAGCTCAGACAAAGCTTGAGAAGTTTGTACAAATTGACCAAATCTCCACCTGACAACAGTCGTGCAATCAGCTTCCAATATTTCGTCACTTATCAGTTAATTATCATCACATGTGTCAACTTATTTCATCCAAGAAACTGATACTTTATCCTTGACTAGAAAAAGATGTAAACATCCCCATTGCCTTATTTCAGTTTCTGTGCAGTGGTCAGATTTTGGTTAAACCCAAACAGGCCCCTCCGCACGGAGAGCAAACAATCCAGTCCATGGAGCTGCAGCGAAACCGCTGATCGGGTAAAGACCTGCCCGCTTTAACATCGATACATTCCTGAGAAGCTTATACGCTACCGTGACGGCGGTTTCATTTCACCCTTATTTATCAGCTGTTCTCGGAGAGCTCTGGGACTAACCTGTCGTTAACGTGTAGCAGTCCGAGCAGTTTGAGCACCTCACCACGCTTTGCACTGTGTTTTTGGAAATGTATGTAAGCTTAAAGAGACAGTATTTCTTTTCTGAGGTTCCTTTTGAGTCGCAAGAGGAATCAAATTTTCTTTCTCGTAATTTTCTTTTATTTTTTTCAAAAAATCCGTTATCTGTGATATCGCAGCATGAATTTTTATCACGTGTGGCTCTACGGTCTGGCTCTTTGTGAGCATAATGAAGTTAGTATTACCCTTCCTGCCTTGCTTTTTGCTGCAGTGTGCCTGCCTTTTCAATTTGTGAAATTGACAAGAACGTAATACAAAATAACCATTTTATGCATAACAGTATTGCAAGTTGTTTTTATCAAGGGAGAAATGTGTACATGCAGATTTAATAGTGTATTTTTATTACAGGAATATGACCTCTTATTTTGAGACTATAGGAAGACTTCTCGATCTTGCTGTGATTTGCCAACTATGTAAATTAAATGTAGCCGACAGTATTTAGTAGAATCAGAGTATTTTTAGTTCAACGTGGATTCAAACATCAACGTTTTTAGTAAATAATGATGTGTTATTAATCAAGGGGAATTAGTGCTCATCATCCTGCTTTGACAAATAATCACTGTAGCAAGAGGGGAAAAAAAAGGATACTGTCTCTTTAAATCTGTTCCTGCATCTGTGATTGGATGTAATGGAAGCCCTTACTGGGATGCCAGGTGTAAGGATGGCCCTCTTTGTTTTCTGTAACCCTTTGAGGGCTTGAATGATATCGCTTCACATGTTTACATGCAGATTAATGCAGATATCCTGATCTCTTACCCTTATTTATTAAAGACTAAATATGTACAGATGGCAGCCTCCTTGCTGCTTCTAAAGTTTAGCTTCCTCCCTGTCAGTTTGTCCCCTCAGGTCCTCAAAGGGTTAATGCTTCCTGCCTTGTTCTTTGAATAATCTTTCAACCTGGCCTTTTCAAGTGTTCTGTATTCAAATCTTTTTTTTTATCCAAAAAAACAAAACAAAACAAAAAAATACACCTGTTGATTTACATCCTTATAGTAAAAGAAAGTTTGTCATCTTCCCAGAATTACTGATTCTAGTCTGTGAATGTGCCTTCTCATTCTGCTTCTATATCCTCGGATTATCTTTGTTTTACTTTCTCGCTGTTTGTTTTCTTCCTTTTCTCCTGACTCTGCATGCACTTGTATTCCAGATGACTGAAATTTAATTTTCAAAGTGTTAGTTTGACTAAACCTCTTGTAATGGTAGACCTCTTTCACAGTTCTTTGTGACCTCTCTCTCTCTCTCTCTCTCTCCCTACTCATGTTGTCGTAATAAATATTACTGTTGGTATTGCTGAAACGCGTACCGTCTTATTTCTCCTTTCCTTTCCTGTGAGGCGTAATGTGGTTGTAATGACACGAGGCTCACACCACTCGATCCTTGTCAATTTCACAAATTGCTTTTTGTGTCTGAGGGTTCTGTCATGCAAAATAGGAAGGCTTCAACAAGGTGGATTTATGTGTTTGCGAGTGTCTGAAGGAGACCTGAATGCTAAAGCGTTGACAAATGTGTGCAAGCTGCGCAGCTGTCAGTCAGTATCAGTCATAAAGAAAGTGATCAAAACACTTGTGAGAAACAGGGCAGACGCAGTGACAGGAAAGATCTTTTATTGATGTTGTTAGAGCGTCTGCCTCGAGACAAAAGCCTTCAGGTTGCATTTAATATAAAGAGATCAACTCTGATTATTGTTAGCCAAGCTGTTTGTCACCAGTGAAAGCAGCGAGTGTTGTCATATGGCCACGAGAAAAAAAAAGTTGCGTAAACATGACTCACCTCAGGCATAAAAGCACCAAGGAATAATTTATTAAAGGGAAGATGTATTACGCTTTGTATTAATGTATTAATGCCTTGCATCATAGATGGTTGATACAAGGCCTTGTTGTCAGTTTCACAAATCTGCATCATAAAAACTGTTTGTGGGCCCTTTGGATTACCAGGATTTCTGCATTGATTAGTATTGTTTACATATAAAACAACATCTGATCGACATCAGTGTCACGGCTTCAGACAAACACAGTCTGGTTAAACGCACTCCCACAGACATGCACACAGAGCACAGGCTGGAAAAAGTCATCCGATTAAAAGAGGAGAAATTTCAAATCAGTTCTAGAAAACTGTTTAAGTTCATTGTTATTTTTGGGATTAGGGGGACACATCTCCTTACTTCACTGTAATCCTACAGTCACACTGAGGAAGACGCTAATTGGAGACCAGATTGATCATATAATAATCGTGTTATCTCCTTGCCTTTGAAGTGGTCGCTTCAAAGACGGGGATCAGGTCTACCGCCAGTCACAGTCAGTCGACATCTTCAAAACAACTTTGGCGCATCAAGATTGCAATAAGATCTGCCATCAGTTTGCCATGACATCTGTTTGCCATTGTTCTATTGTTCTTCTTCTACATAAACAGAGTTTCACATTAACTTTGGAGTCGAACCAGAACCTCACAGATTCGAAGCAGAAATTCCTCTACAAATGTGATTTAAGTGTAAAATGTCAAGCAGTCAGTAAACTTGCTTTTATAATCAGAATGCAACCAGTTAAGTGCAAAAACACATGAGTCGTGCTCATTGGTGCACACCTACTCTGATTGCTCCGCGCTTATAAATTAGGTTTAGGAGCAGTGATCTGCAAATTTTCATCAGTCTGTCTGAGAGGGGTTGCAGTCAGATTGCCTGCCCTCTCACTAGGTGACCAGTTGGTTGAGTGTTGGTTTTACCTGCACAGATTGAGAGATATTTCCAGGATTGTGGCTTTCATCCCAGGATACTGGTTGTAAATGGATTTTCATTTCATTTAAGGTGCTCACAAGATTAAAACATGACAAAAAATGTCCTTCCCCAAAATGGTAGTCTAAATCCTCCTGTAAAAATAAAATGGGAATAGGGGAGTGTTTTCTAAGGGATCGTTTCTTTTGATTTAAAGTAGTAGTGCAGATTAAGCCATTGTTCGTAAAGAAATATCTGTCTGTACTTTTTTTAAATCTCGTGAGCACCATGAAAACAAATATTAAAAAGATTTCGTTTAAAAAATAAAAAAAAGGTTCCCGTATGCTACAGAGAACTAAATGAAGGTGAGAAAATATGTTCTGTTAATATTCTCAAGGGCTCTTTTCTCAAGACCAAACTACATTTAGAAGAAGCGACATCACTTAAAGCATAGATAAATGAGAGTAATAACCCGACAGAAATCTCAGACCCCTGTTGAGGCCTATTAGTCTTCCTCCTATCATGACAGCATCTGTGCTATTCCGAGGAACCACCGGTATGTCTGTGTTGTCATTGCAGAAGGAGACGACATGAAATTTGACCCCTTTGGGACATCGGCCCTCAGCACCTTGGCCAGCTATGACTGGTCAGACCGGGACGAGAGTCTGCCCGGTGAGGTCAGAAAGCCACCGGGCTTGGAAGGAGCTGGCCTTCCATCTTTAGTCCCCACACAGAGGAAGGAACTGACCTTTGGCAGCACTGAAAACATCACAAGCAACTCCATAGCAAACATCATCACCTCCTTCCCTGCAGAGGACAGTTCATCAGCAGATGACAAGTTTGAAGCCTTTGCTGACTTTGGCTCCGGCGACCAGGGCGGTGTCAATAACGAGGATGACTTTGGAGACTTTGCAAGTACTGTTTCGGAGAAGTCAGACTCGCCTGCTGCCATTGCCGAGGCGGGCTCAGAGGGAAACCAGAGCGAGGCCTCCGATGACTTTGGTGCCTTCCAGGGAGACAAGCCAAAGTTTGGCAGGTCTGACTTCCTCAAAGCCAGCGCTCAGGCCAAGGTCAAGTCCAGCGAGGAGATGATCAAGAACGAGTTGGCAACTTTTGATTTGTCGGTTCAAGGTGAGTTTTCTTCTTGTATTTACTTCAAGTAGGCGGCACATTGTTTTTCAGTTAAAAATAATTGTCTAAATCCAAATAGAATTTTGCTTAAATGATAAAAAAACAGAAAATATTCATTTTTGACAACTTGGAATAATTGAATATAATGAATGAGTTATTGAAAATTGTTGTCAACTAATTAATTTATTAATTATTTGAAGAGCAGTTTTGGCAGAAAAGTATTAATTTCTGCATTGTTGAATTTGTTGACTCAAGCTTCCTCCCACAGTCTAAAGACATGCATGTTAGGTTAATAAAAGCTGCTTTTATTATGGTCCCTTATTTGCAAGGGGTTGCTGCAGTGGATTGATCTTCATGTTTGATTTTACACCGGATGCCCATCCTGACGTAACCAACACGGGGTTTTGTTACTGCTTCCAGTGTTGAACTTGGGATCTTTCACATGTTGAATGTGTTAGTGTGACAGCCAAGAGGTATGTCAGGTTAAGTGGTGATTCTAAATTAGGTGGGTTTTTTTGCCTGTCCCATTTGGTTCTTTAGCCGTCAGAATTGTTGTCTGAAGACCAACAAAGATACCCAATGGATTTACTTTGCCAAATGGATCATCACGGCCTTGCCGTATTGGTCCATTTGATCAACCTTTGTTGTTATTATTTATTTTATTTCATTTTCAGTTTTTACAGATGGGACAGACATGAGTGAGGGATAGGAAAAGGAGAAAGAAAGATGAAAGAAAAGAAAAACAGAAGGGAAGAGGGACAGTGAGAAAGGGCACTTAAAAAGAAAGAAGAGAAAAAAAATCTCTTGGATCACCTGTTGAGAGAAAAAGAAGAGAAAACAAGCAAAAAAAACAGAGCAACAAACTAAACACAACACCATCACGTTAATCTAGCTAATTGTAAACACCAGTAAATACTAAATATTGAATGTTGTTGTGTAGCAAGCAGGACTGACAGCGCATAATATGCTTGGAAATAGCAGCCAATAGAGGTGTAGTTTATGTCTATGATCAGTGAACACCCATGTGCACACCTGTGTGGATCAGCACGCTTGTATTCAAAAGGTTTCCCCATGTAACGGTCTGCTAGAGGATGTAGAGAGCCATAGCCCTGTCCCCCAGCGGCGGACATGGAGGAGATCCAGGCTCCAGACATCCAGAGGCCCAGAGGTGCGAGAGCCCAAGGAGGACCACCGGAGGGGCATCCGTGCCACCCTCCTGGGAAGAGCTGAGGAGAGCCCCAGATGAGGGGTCACCCAGTAGCCACGGAGCAGAAGCCAGAGGGGGCTGCAGTGGTGTGCCCACCGGCTCTGCCGGCAGCCAGCTGTGCCAGAGTGAACCCAGCCGCAGGCCCAGATGATTCTAAATTAGTAGTTGACATAAGGAAGCGTTGTTAGAATAAATGACTATATAAATGTATGCATAATGTGGACACATGACTCTTCTGACCAGCTGTAAGTCCTTGGCCCTGCACTCTGCTCAAGCACCCCGCCCCCACAGACAAGGCCCATCAGATGTGTAATAAAGCTGTCAGACATTAGATGGTAGTGTTGAGATGACAGCTCCACTCTCTAATGGCAGCGACTGTTGAGATGGATTAGCAGATGCCCACAAATCCATAAGCAGAAATTAACCGTATCCACTTAGAGGCTGTTCATTTTCGAACCGCTGTTTGCTGCTGTTATTTTTCACAAAATAAATTATTACAGTTTCCTGCACTGTGATCAAAGCCTCATGTAGATTCATTTCCCTGTGCTGAAGTTAATGTGTGTGAAGAAGCAGGGCTCGCTAACTCCCCTTCTTCCTGTGGCTCAGTGACCTGATCACAGTGGGGCTTCTGGTGTAGGCTGAGTAGTTGTGTGGTGATGGTGGGGTTGAGGGTGGATTACCTGTGTGTAGATGGCGCACGCACACATGCGCTCACAGCTAACCCCACTGGAATAGTCTGGGCTTCACTTGTGTTTGTGCTCGTGCTTGTTGTGGTACCTTGCCAGGGTTTTTGTCCTTCTATGAATTATTCATACCTGCATATTTGTGCCTCTGTTTTGTACCTAATTATTGTTTGTCACAATTAAGTATTTACGCATGCTGTCCCTGTCTGGGAGGAATTAACTACAAACAGAATGGAAGTAGAATGGTTGGAGACAAACAGGTGCACAGCCCAAAATGAGTTGCATCACAACATGTCGCTGAATTGATATTTCTCTCATTTCTCTTCTTCTCTGCTCCGTCTTTGCTTCAGGTTCCCACAAGCGCAGTCACAGTTTGGGTGAGAAGGAGATCAGGCGTTCACCCCCGTCTCCGGCGCCAGAGCAGCCCTTCAGAGACCGATCCAACACCCTGAACGAGAAGCCTGCACTGCCCGTCATCAGAGACAAGTACAAGGACCTGACTGGAGAGGTGGAGGTGAGGAGGGAACCTGAATATCAGTAGATTTCAGCACAATACCAAGGACTGTTAAAGCTTCAAAATACATAAATGCCCCTTTTTGTTCTCTTCTGTTTTCCCTTTGTGTTCATTTGAGATAATTTTGTGCTGTTGCAGGAGAGCGAGCGCTACGCCTATGAGTGGCAGAGGTGCCTGGAAAGCGCTCTGGAGGTTTGTGTTTGTTTGTGTCCTGTATCTGACCTCATACCTGGGAGAGACTTAATTGTGAGAGCGACAGCAAATGTTCTAGAGCATAGGTGTCAAACTCTGGCCCGCGGGCCAAATTTGGCACGCAGCCTAATTACATTTGGCCCGCGAAGCCATGCCAAATTACTATTAGAGCTGGCCTACTGGTATTATACAGCTAATATATATATTGTTTAGTATTAAGCTTTGCTTGTTCCATATTCAGTTTTTCAGCAAAACTTGTTTGAGTCCATAAGAAAAGATTCATTCTTATATCTGGAGGAAGATTTTTTTTTTTCAATAAATATTAACATTAGCCCGCGACTTTGTTTCAGTTTTGAATTTTGGTCCACTGTGTATTTGAGTTTGACACCCCTGTTCTAGAGTAATTAAGATAACCAAAATACACTGAAATGTTTTTTTCAGCCAGGATTTTACCTGTCACGTATGTCTTGGGATATTTTATTTTCTTGAAACTTGCAAATATAACTTCAGGACTGTTGTGTTTTTAAAGCTCATCAAAAATTGAGGATGTTGCAAAATGTCTGCTGGAATATTTACTTTTCGTTTTAATGTGTTTGACATTTCAATCCTGGGTAAAGGCCATAATTGTAACACTTTACTGTTGGATGCTCATTATGAGTTTTATAAGCAAGACCAGTGTGTATGTAATAACGCCAGCTTCTGTCCTTCCACGTTAAGGTCATCACCAAAGCCAACAACACCCTGAACGGGATCAGCAGCTCTTCTGTCTGCACCGAGGTCATCCAGTCTGCTCAGGGCATGGAGTACCTGCTTGGTGAGGAGCTGCACTAATGCACACGCAGACACAGCTACTACTACCACTACTATAAACACACCGGGGGCCTCATTTATCAAACCATATAGGGAAAGTGCTCTAAATCTGTGTGCAACAACCAGCACTTTGCACAGTAAAATGTCCATTCATCATCCACACACCACAGAGCAACCTTATATATTGTAAACCACTTTCCTTTCAAATGCCTTTAAATAGGTCTCATTGCCACTAACATGAGAGTTGGAGGTCCCGATCAATGAAGTAGCACTAAATAGAACTGTTTATTTAGCATGTTTTCTGGAAGAGTGCTGACAAAAAAATAAAAAAATCAGTGCCGCAGCTGTTCAGGTCAAAGAGAAGTAAAGAAAGTACATGTAAAAAATAGTGTCGATGACCACAGAATAAAAAAAAAATACTGCCACAGGAGTAAGACGGTCCACCTCATCAGTATCGCCTGTGGATGGAAAAATTGCTTCAATAATTGGTGAGGTGTCTGTGGCAGAAATCATCCCTGAAGGTGATGCTTGACACGGTCGGTGAACCTCCACAAAGCACAGAGGGGGCAGGGCCATCATGAGTAACCACTTTATTTTATAGTGTGGTGATTGTTTTGGAGTTTTATGGCCATGAGTCTCACACATAGAACTGAAAACACAAGCAATTTTATACCCTCCCCTGCAGCTGAGGACACTAGAAAAAATCAGAACCAAGATGACTTGTGAGTTCATTCGGATCGCCTCTATAGAACAAGGGCGAAGTAATGGCAAGACAATGCAAATAACATTTGCTGATTACTCCTCACTCTTTGTACGGAAAGGTCCCTGCAGTCCCTAAAAACAAGCATTTCATGCTAAAATGTATCTATGAGTCGAGCTCAGCCCTTGAATGTTTGATGATATTGATAAATAACACTTTGACCTGGAAACATTTGCACATAGAGAGTTAATACTTCCACATACAGTTAAAAAGAAATGAGGCCTTGCGAGCCTCAGAGGCAACAAGAGCCTGTTAAAGAAGCCAGTGTGTGGCCTTAATACCCTGTGAAGGACAGAAAGGACAAGATTAAGATGAGCTCTGGTGTGATGGCTTATCTCTGCCCCGTCTGACAAGGTCCTGCTGCTTTACTGTTTCTCTGCTTTTAATGAGCCGAGTGGCTAACACGTCACGGCTAAGTGCTCAACACCGACTAAGAAAGTGTGTTTCTGTGACATGTGTGCGTTTGTTTTCTCCCTCTCAGGCGTGGTGGAAGTGTATCGCGTCTCTCGGCGTGTGGAGCTGGGCATCAAGGCCACGGCGGTGTGCTCTGAGAAGCTGCAGCAGCAGCTGAAGGACATCAGCCGTGTGTGGAACAACCTCATAGGCTTCATGTCGCTGGCTAAGCTCGCTGTAAGTTGCTATGACGTTTGTACGCACTCACCAAAAGGCAGGACAGATAGATATACAAGTGGAATTACGCACTGATAACAAAGCATTGACGTTCAGTTAAGAATGCAAGTCCTGCCAATAACATGATTGAGTGTTAGTGAATCCAGTATTGTCGGTCCATTAGGATAAAATCAATGATTCATTGATTTGAAAGCAATGCAGATGGAGTCTTTTGGTAGGCCGCTGTTTGGATCAGCGGGGATGACGAAGACTGTAAAGATTTATTTACCTAGCTGTCTCCAAGTATCTGTAAAACGGGACGCAAGAGGAGGACTGTTCTCATCCGCAGAGCCAGCAGACGAGGAATACTGTTTGTAGAAGATAAAAATGATTTAGCATCTTGAGAAAGGAGGCAGAAACAAAATGCAACAAATGTTTAATTAAAGCAGGGATGAAGATTTATTTCCTTATAAAGGAGAAAGATGTAAACTCGAGAATTGTTTGTTTTCAGTCTGAGTAGCCAATGTCGTGCCAAGTCTTTATTAAAAAAAAAAAAGTTGATGCTTGGAGATGTTTACTATAAGCCGACTTGTTCTCTCTGCTGTTATTATAAGAATAGAAATGACTACATTTTGCCCTGCGGCAGGAAGTAAAACGTCTGTGTGTTTTTGTGTGTCTAGCCTGATGAAAGCTCCCTGGATTTCTCCTCCTGTATTCTGCGGCCGGGTATCAAGAATGCAAAGGACTTGGCTTGTGGGGTTTGTCTGCTCAACGTCGACGCTCGCAGCAAGGTTTGTGTGCATGCACACTCACACAGAGTAACTGTTACTGGGTACTGTTTTTTGTTTTTTACACACATGATGCTGTGCTCATCCCCAGCAGATAACAACTGACATTTCTTTGACTTTGAAACATTTTTCCAGAACAAAGAAGAAAGCACTATTGGACGTCTGTTTAAACGAGTATGAGACAGTCAACTGTCATCTGAATCTCATTCCACTCTTTCCTGTTGGGGTCCTTGGGGGGCCTATCCTCCTCTTACTGACGAGCCCTGCGGGGGGCCAAAGTGACAGGATTCCCTCCTCTCCACTGCTCTTCTATCAGAGCTGTTTTCTGCCTAGACATGCACATCATCATAAAAACCCCACAAAGTACCAACCCAAATCTAAACCCCAACCCCTCACATTACTTTGCCTGTCAAGCTTTGTCTTCTTGCAGCACATATGATGCAAGTAATATTCATTTAACACGAGTTCATAGGGAAGATCAAATTCTTTTCACCTGTCACATTGCAGACTTTTATGCATGTAGTCCTCTAGTTAGTTAGCTAACTGTCACCATAAATCTGAGCAGAATCCAGCTGACGTTTATGAATTTTATGTTTCCAACTCAGTTGTTTGATAGCTTTCTGTAGATCGAAAAACTTTAAAGAGCCCCGCGTAATGTAACAAAAGATTAATGAGCATAACAAAATAGTTCTTGAATTATAATTTCCTCCTAGTTAGTCGTAGTGTGATTGGGATAAATGAAAGAGATGCAACAACATGCTTCATATCTTTTATTATTGCAAATAGATTAAAATTATCCCCAGAGCTGCCAACCTCGGCTCAAAAAACCAGACGGCTCAAACTCAGCTGTACGGCCCAGTTTGATCTCAATTCAATTTTATATAGATGTCTCAAGCTTTATATTGTAAGCTAAAGACCCTACCATCAGACAGTCACACACTCAGTGACTGTGGGGAGGAAGAACTCCCATTTCATAGAAAGAGACCTCCAGCAGAACCACTGGGGTGGGGTTGAAAGGAGAAAATAAGAATAGAGACGGAACCAAATATAAACTACAAGAGAGAGTAGACACAGAGTTATTTATATGTGTAGCAGCATATATACGCATCAGTAATGCAAAGAGGAATAGAGAAGAAGTGCTGAGTGCATCATGCGTCCCCCAGAGGCTTAAATAGAAGAATAAGCAGGGAACCACCACTTTTTTTTTTCTCTTGTCTTTTACTCCACCCCCAGTAGATTGTTGCCTCTTGCTGAGCATGTTTCTGCTAGAGGGTTCATCCCATTAAAGAGGAGCTTTTCCTTCCCACTGTCGCCAAGTGCATGCTGACTGGGCATAGTCTATTTGCTGGGATTTTTCTCTCTATTACTGTAGGGTCTTAACCTTAAAATATAAATTGCATTGAGGTGACAATTTTTGTGAATCAAGCAGAATTTAACTGCAACTGAGGTTTATAGTCACCTGATAGGGTTAAGCCAGTGGTGTTAAACATAAGGAGTCTTTGCAGGGTCTTGCAAAGACTCTAATTCAACCTTTTGAAAGGCTTTGAAAGAAGGAGGGCATACATTTTTTCATAGGTTTTACAATTTTGTCTACCAATAAAGACCTCCCCCATAGCCATCCATACTACTAATTAGGCAATAGATAAACAGTTAAATGTAATTAAATTTGATCTGATGGTGATGCTATAAAAATGATCTGCACGTTTAGAGTCACCACATTGAACCTGAAATTAAGCGATTCCTTCAAAACGTCTATCAAGCATATGGAGGTGTTGGATATATAGTTGCAGTACGAAGAGACTTGCTTCTATTTCTGATAGAACTTTCCTTTAGTGTTACTCCAGAAACAATACAAATAGTCCTGAAAGTGGTGCTGCAAAGTCAGTGTTTCGACAGTTTTTCCTTTGTAAACTCTCCAGACACTCTAAATGCCAGGTGTCACTCCTATTAGTGCCCCACAATGTGAACAAAGTCAGAGCTTGACAGGCTCTGATCAGACAGTCACTGCAGGGGAGACGGTGGGCAGACAGTCACTTTAGGTCGTCTCCCTGCTTTTATGGTGAAGTATGAAGTTAGAAGTGTCCACGGATAACAATGTGCGCTCTTGAAGTAAATGACAGAGAGGGAAGATGTCACTTTGGCACCTCGGGGTGGGTTTTTTCACCCTGTGATTGCTTCCTCAAGGTCACAAAGGTTGTTACTTTGTCTTGGAAGGGTTTCATTTTCTATTCTGCCACCTCCATCTCAATGTAGCTGCACACTTTGCCACTTTGAGCTAACAACCGTCGGTGTTTCTAATAACTGTTCAGAGAGCGGGGCAGGATGGCGGTACCTCTTTGCCTAGGGTGGTCGTGATTTTCATCGACGTGGGCCATTAAGGGTATTCTCGGACCCTGCGGTTTAGAGGGCAGGATGGTGGCGTTGATTGTTTCTTGCGATCCGTCTGCTGCTCTGCCAGAGCCAGATGGATAGTCCAGACGAGATAAGGCTGACTGAGAGGCATCTAGGCTGTGAGCAGATGTGGCTTACACATTAGTCATAAGCAGGGAGAACGGCGGATAATAGACCTGCACACACAAACACACTCTCTCTCACCTCTCGCTCCTCTGTGCGCAGAGGCAGTCTGAAATTAATGCAGTTTTATTTTGTCTCTGTGCCACAAGCATGAGATTAATAACCCATCTTTTAATTACATTTTTGGCACAAACCACCCTGGTAAGACTGTCGAGCGGAGAATAGCATCCCCTGCAAGTATAATGAAGTGAAAGAACAGCTTTGGCTACGGCAGACAGCACCGATTGTTGCTTTGTCCCTCAGTGAAGAGGTGCCGGTTTGTTTTTCGACCAAAGGTGCAGGCGGGTGGAGACGTTGATGTGGCATCAAAGAAATGCGAAAAATGCTCGACAGCCGATGTGCTCAGTCTCTCCTGCTCAATTCATGTTTTGAATTCTGATATTATTCTCGATTCAAACAGAGCCAAACAGTCGCTTTCAGCCAGACTCACCATGTTCCTGTTTGGCTAATATTCTCTGGGTTGTCGCACCTTTTTTTCTTTTTTTGGTTTAAATCATTCTGCATGTTATCTTTGGGTTAAGGGGCTTGGATGGGCGACTGCAAACAGCTTCATCTCTCCTCAGTTTGTCACTCAGAAGCAGCAGCAGTTTCACCCTAAGTGATACTTTTTGGCTAATGATGCTCCAGCTCCTCCACTAAACGATAAATGCTAATTTAGGCATTTACAAGGAGAAGGACTGGAAAGGAGTTTAAGCTGAATAATTTAGCATTTTTGGCTATTTATTTTAACGCAGCTTTTTCAAGTGCCTCAAGCATTTGGATTATCAAGTTGAATGTGTGTAGTTTTGACAGCAGCACACAGGAGTTTGGACCACAGCTTTGTTCTTAGGCTGCCCATCTCTTTCACAGCATGTTTCCATCTGGTCGAGGTTAGCGGGGCTCCTGCACAGACAAAGAAAGTCAGGGAAATTACTTACCGTGCAATACCGACATTAAAGAATTTGGGAATTGAAAGAGCACTCTTTGAAAATGTTCAAAAGTACAAATTTGACAAATCTGAAGCTGAGAGAAACTGAGAAGTTGACTTCTCAGCGACTTCCTGTATGGAAGTGACGTAAATTAGCGAAAATCATGTCCCCATCCCGACTTTATTTAAACGTGTTGGTGCTAGCAAATTTAGACTGAGCAGATATTTAAATAAGTATGTTATTTCTTGTTTTTGTTATATTGTTATGCTTAATTCAACATTGTAACATTAAAATTAGTTCCAAATTATCACATTGTTTACATTGTACTTCACTTTTTTAAATAGGGTTGTGCTAAAAGTAACATTAACCTTTAGCATTAACCTTAAAAAGCAGCGCTCGATTCCAGGTCTGGTGATGTATCACCGACAACTTGTAGCTTTTTTTTTTTTTTAATCTCACAGTAAAGAAAGCTGTCAGCGAGGGCAGGTTTCTGTTTGTGCTGGCTTGTAAATCTTTGAGTCATTGATGGGTTTTTTTCACCATGTAACACATGCATCCACATGCTTTGTTGTTTTCGATCAATAACCCAAATAACAAATATATTCGGTTTATTATTGCAGAAGAAAACCACGAAACGGAGATGAAGCTGTAGCTTTAAGTCAGCTAATATAAAGCTGCTGCAATACAGTTTCAGGCGATTGGCTGATTGTTTCAGCTCTAACCAATCATGCTGTTGTACCAGCAACACGGCAAAAGATGGCAAGATCAAAACATGAGGGACTGGTAAAGGTCCTTTCTTGGTTTTCTCCCAATATCTCAGCTTCTTTTTGAGCAGGAGACGTCTGCTTAAACCAAACCTTTGTTCTTTCAGTCTTCAACCTTTATTTTAATGTCAGTTGATAACTGTCATTTGAAACACAGACTCTGGTTCATGTGAGGTGCTGCCGCTGCAATAGCAGCTTTTCTCCTTCTGTCTACAACCCAGATTTGTCTACAGGACTGGATTAACTGTGACAAACCGCGCTGATTTGTTTCAGTGAGCATACTGGCCAAAATCTTCAGTCAATATTTTAGATCAATCGAGGCAAAATCTCTTGAATTCTGAGTTGGAGAAATGTGTAGGAGCCCCGAGGGTAAAAACTTTCATGTTTTCACCGAAAAACATGCTGTGAAAAGTGGTGAAACGGCTGCTCGCTGCTTATTCTGTGCACACTTTGCTCTGGGCGCTGCATGAATATGCTTCACTTCTCTGACTGCTCTTGTGCTTACAGGCATTGACTAAAGACAGGGAGAGGAGCTTAAGGGTAATTATGCCTTGTTTTTTTTTTTTAAACTTCTAATAAAATAGTTTGCATTAAAGCTTGATTTTCATATCCGAACAGATAGAGGAGCCAGGACCTTTACATGCAGCTGAAAGGTCAGATGAATTAGCAGAGTCTCTGTTTTATCTGACAACTCCAGCTTGAAAACATAAAACCCACACTGTAGTGTCACAGCAGGCTTTTATTAACCTTTATTTAACCAGGCATTAGAAACAAATGATTTTCCAGGGCAGGCTGTGTACAAGGCTCTGTTTAGTTAAAACAGGTGGACATTAGCCTCCCTTCACTGACACACAGGTGAACTCTGGAGCAGGAAAGGCACTGCAGCGAAAGCAGGGGTGTGTTTTAGTTTGACCACCCTTTCATTTTGCATCCTCTCCCTCCCAACATTTCCCAGCTTTGGCACTCCTCTAAGTGCAGGTTTGTGGAAGCAAGTAGGCCAGGGCACAGAGGGGTCTCTGAAAGGAAATCGCTCCTCCAGTGAAATGTGAGCGTGTGAAGGAAAAAGCGAAAAGTGGAAATGTGTCATTCGGCTCGTCTGAGAAAGCCCTTCATCGGGCGGAGCATCTGTGCCGCAGACTGCATTCAGGCAGGTGGAGATGTATTTGACTTAATGGTGTGTTGTGGTGGTGTATTTCTGCATGCGTCTCCCCTCTGCTTCTGTGTGGGAGGCTGTGATTCACTGCACATGACTCATTCCTCTCTCCGGCTTCAGCTCCATTATTTCACCGGGGATGCAAACTCCTAAACTGCACATCACACACATTAGCATCTCCTGATTGCGCCCACCGTGCCGCAGCTGGGCCCAGTGAAATCGCAAACTTGCATCAGAGCCCTCGTGTGTGTGTGTGTGTGTGTGTGTGTGTGTGTGTGTGTGTGTGTGTGTGTGTGTGTGTGTGTGTGTGTGTG